AAAGAGAAGTGAATTGCCTAAAGTCATCAAAAACAAACATATAAATAAATAGGGTCCAAGCAAGGATTTGAACCCAGTCCTTCTGTTTGCAAATGCAGTATTCCCTATTCTAAAGTCAACCTACAGAGAAATGTTAAAATGTGCTCTGACAGGATTGGTTCTGGGTCCCACATCACTGAATCAAACAATCAGTAATCATTTACAAATCACTTACTACTCACCAGACTATGTTATAAGGTTATACAACTCAAAGGCAATTCTTTAATCTTGTTAGTAACATCATCTAAGGTGGAGCGCCTTGTTGTTCACCCTTCATTTTCGAAGAGGACCAATGATACCATGGGGTGATGTCTTGACTTTTCAGTGAATTGGATTTAAGGGAGGCACAGCTTCCCAAAGTCATCAGCCTCACTTTCTCTTCCAGAATCATTTAAGTCCAGTGGCAAGACAAAAATCAAGATGACTAGCTTTGTATGGGATTAGAAATAAGGTCTGACTTTTTTTGCAGAGGAGAGGTGGGTCAAAAAACAATATATTTTTAGAAGAATTCAGTTGTCCACATGTCCAAAACAAAACATCCAAATATCAAAAGGCAGAAACTAAGTTTATGAGGGTAGAGAAATATCAGAGACTTATTGGGTCACCAGATGCCTTCATATTCTCATGTCTTCTTTATTTTTGTACAACGTATACAACTGTATAAAAGCAACTCGAATAAATTTCCCACTAACCTCAGTGTTGGGTAGGTTTAAAAAAAAAAACTGTGTTAATCTCTAGAAAAAAGAAAATTCACCAAAGGGTACATACAAATGAAAACAAAAGTGATGAAGAGTTTGAAAGCAGGCCTATAAACTCAAGCTGAAAAATTATTACTAGTATCTTTCAAGCTGGGAAAGTACTTAGCCAACACCCTTTGAGTATACAGAAAGATATTTAAATAAAAATGTGACTTTCTACTGCTAAAGGGGATGTGACAAGGGGCAAAAGTATTGGTAAAAAGGATGTATGTTAGGTTTTAGAAAGAAAATCTCTCCTAGGCCTGAAACACTGAAATATAATATCAAAGTTGGGTTACAAATGACTGTCTGTAGATTTCAAAATAGGTACTTGGGTAATCTTCTAAAGTTCATCTAAATATGATTTAGTTTCTATGTTATTTATTCAACAATACTCATATTGGCTTCCTAAAAAGGCAGGCAGGTTCCGAGTTTCAACTTGGATGTTGAAACTCTGCAGTGAATACTTTTTGGGAAGGGAAAAAAAATTACATTTGAGGGGGAAAGATCACAACAAGGATAAGAAAAGGAAAACTGCAATCTGAAGAAAAACCTTTCTTCCTGCAGTTTCTTTTCACCTACCACTGGGATTTGGAATACATAAACACCCAGACACATAGCTTACTCAAAGGGTGGATTGCCTTTCTAGACACATCTCCTTCCAACATGACGAGGCCCCCTAAAACACCTGGAGAAAGTGGTGATGGCTTCCTAGGGAGGTTGTAAAGTGGTGTCACTCCCAATCTCCAGAGACAGGCCACACCAACTCCTTGCCTTGACAGGATGATCAATGTCATCAGCTGTCTGCTAAGCCCTACTTGGTAAGCATTTCCTGAGAGAAGGAAGCATCCTCTGCCTAAGCAAAATCCACCTCCTCTGTTAATATTTCCTACCAATCTGTTTGTTTTAAAAACCCTTTCAAATAGCATTTTCTGAACATCAACCAATAGGTGGGGTGATTTTTTTTTTTTGCACACAAGATTTCTACATATTTATTCACTGACTTTAATGATTAGCTACAGAGTTAGTTAGTGATCTGCCTCTTAAGTTACAGATACACCAGGACAAGCACCCCAGGCAAATTAGAAGGATGGAAGACTTCCCTTCCCTCTCAACGGCCCCTGGCATTTTAAATAGCACCTGAAGAACTACATAAATAACTGCACAGGCCGAATACAAAACAATAAAATGTAGTGGTATTCCTCTCTAAAAAGCAGCAAACACTCATGATGATTCAGCATAATACCATGACCAAAAAAAAAAAATGGAAGCTCAGAGAAGTAACAGTAATCTGTCTGATGGGGAAAAGTAACAGATGACTAACGTCATTCAGGCCCACCTGGCCTTGGCTCTTTCACTAGGGTCCCAGGAGTTAAGAGATGGAAGGAATATTAGAGCACACATGTCAAACAGGCTGTCCACAGGAAACTACACAAAAATATAGCTGGAAAATATTTAACAAAATAAATACAACAAAAATACAATAAATACAAATACAATAGAACATCGACAGTATTTTAAAATTGAGTCAATATGTGACCCACAGGGATCCTTACTGTGAGGGATTGGTGGCTCCCCTGTCTACTTCAGTTTGACACCAGTGTTTTGGATCATCCTCTAGTCCAACACCTTTCACAAACAAGGAAACCGAGACTTAGAAAGGTTAATGCAGTAAGGAACAGAGTTAGATGTCTAATCCAGCTCCTGTGATGGTGGCAGATTCCCTAACCAACAGGCCAATGCCACCTACCCTTCATCTCACGGGTTTCTCTATCTGTAACAGGGAAATGGGAGTTAAGAAAGCAAGGGAAAGTCTTGACTTAAATGATCACCATGTCCTTTCATACTTTAAATCCTTTAACTTCTATACAGGCTGACAGCCACCTGTTTCTCACACATTGCATCATGGCCACTTTCGTGTACCCATCAAAAGGGTAGAGGCCCCAGAAAACCCCATCTCCACCATGTTTTTATGGCAGCTGTCTATGAGAACTGACCACTCTGAAGTTAAAAAAAAAAAAGCAAAAAAGAGTTGTTTCCATACTACCCCTTAACTAGTGACAAAAATGAACAATCAAAAGGTTTCACAAAAAGAAAAACTTTATTTAGGGCCAAGTGTACCTCCCTTTATCTCTCAGTCTGAATTCTTATCAGACAATTACAGGCAAAAACTGCTAACGCTACACTGTACTCTTAGAACATTTCCATTCATAAAACTGATTTATGTTTTTACCCACATGCAATTTACCACACCTAGGTATCAACTCAGAAGCCACTTCTGCACGGAAGGAAGACAGCTGTCCTGCCAAGAGAAAATTAAAGGGGAGGAGCAGCACAATCAGGTAGACAGATTTGATATAGAGTACTTAAAAGCAAGCTCAGATAAGCTCACACCTGCTTCTTTTAGACTTGAATGAAAGCCAATTCAGACGGCTAGATGGCTCAGTGGATAAAGCCTAAGGCCTGGAGTCAGGAAGACCGGAGTTCAAAAAAGTCCTCAGACACTTACTAGCTGTGTAATTCTAGACAAGTCACTTACCTTGTTTGCCTCAGTTTTCCCACTTGCAAAGCGGGCTGGAGAAGGAAATGGCAAACCACTTTAGTACCTTTGCCAAGAAAATCCCAAATGGGGTCATGACGAGTCAGATACGACTGGAAACAATAGCCAAGTACAATTTAAATAACTGAAAAACTGAATTTGACCACCACAAGGGAGCCAGGGCCAAGGAGAACTGATGGGTCCTCCGCTGCAGCTTTTCCTCGAGAGAAGATAGTTCTCTGTTTCATTTGTGTCCTTTTTACTTTCGACTCAGCATCCTTCCTTCCTTACCCGCTGTCATTCCACACTCACTCAAATTTAACATAAAAAGTGAAAGGGGTAAAGAGGCCAGCGTCCCGAGAGGGACTGTCCATAAGAGGGCACAGCATTCATTTCATCGTATGACAGACAGGTATCTATTCTCTCTCCTCTCCATTCACCTCACCACCCACCTTTAAGAAGGGAAAACACAAACAAAAAACCCTTTGGAACAAATATGCATTAGTCTAGCAAAACAAATTCGCATTCCACGTCCAAAACCGTTCAGCACCCTCAGCATTTTGAATCCATCACCTCTGTTACTGCATAGTTCATTATCAGCCAGGAGGTTATATTAAGTACACAGCAACCTCTCTCTGTCCTCGGTCTCAATAACACACACGCACATGCACACATACGAGCACGCACGCGCGCCGTACGCACCCACAGACCCAGGGCCAGGGATAGCGGTCTCCCTCTGTCCCCCACCCCTCCTCTGCCGTCGGCACCCCTAGCAATAGCACTTCCTGAAGGCCAGGCCGGCAGACCAGAGTATTCCTGGACACGGCCAGTAAGCGCTGCTGTCGCTGGCCGACCCCTCCGAGGCAAGCGCAGCAGGCACCACCGGGCAACGAACAGGGAAGTAGCACGAGGTAGGCTGCTCGCTCCCCGCCACGACTAGGAAGTCGCGGCGCGGATGAATCAATGTATGGCGGCAACTGTTCCTCAACACGCCCACCCATCACCCCCCAAAAAAAACGCACCTCCGGGACAGCATGCAAAGGCCAGACCGGGGAAAAGCCTGGCCCGCCGCTCTAGAAGGCGGGCAGTCCTGAAGTGGCATCAGCAGGGGCACCTTGCTAAGGGTTTTAATAAGGCAAAATGGGGCGGTGGGACGCAGAGCCCCGTGCACTCACTGACTCACCAAAAGAATATGCGGGAGCAAAGGTTTGCGTTTTGCAAAGGGTTGGGTTTGGCGTCCTCGTACACGGGCTGCATCTTGGCCACCCCCGCGTCCCTGCGCTCCCAGCTGAAGGACACTCGCCGCCGCCCTCCCCCCAGGGGCCGCTGATGCCGGTGACCCTGATGACCGGCGATGCTAGCGCGACCAAGCCGGTGCTCAGCACCTCCGTGTGCTGCCGGCTAGAAGCGCCAAAGTGAACCGGGTCGGCTTCCGGTAACTAGACCTCGGCGACACGCCTCCTTCCCCGCCTCCCTGCTCCGACGCTCCGCCTGGCTTCTCCAGTGGCAACACCTCTCTACGCTCGCTGCTGGAGCGGGGCTCGCGGCTGAGCCACGACGTGTGCGACCTCCCCGGGGAGGGAGAGCCGAGGCTGCAGCAGCCGACAGGGGGAGGGGTGGGGAGGAGAGCCCGGCCCGGGAAGGTGGTGGGGGTGGGGGTTAGGATTCCAAGTCCGAGGGTGGGCTGCCAACGCCCAGTTCTGCTACTTGAGCACTACTGGGAAAGCTGCTGTCAAGGGGACGGAGAGGACTGGCAGCACCGGGCGTCAGTGCCCCAAGTGGAAGGCGAAAGGCTGTCACATGGCCAGCCTTTGGAGGAATGTGGAGGAACCCCTACGTGCCATCCCCCGCTGGCCATCGAGTTTTGACTGTCTTGTCCGATACTGGGTATAAAACGACTCGGCAGCCCCCGAGGAAAGAAATTCTGGGAGACTGAGAATTTGCCAAGTTGCAAAAGCAGAACTTGGCATTTGGAAGCCTTTGTCAAGGTTTGACTACGGTGCCGGACTGGGTTTTGCTAGAGGCTTTGAGCTTTCTTTGTATAAATAGCACTTGGAAGTGCTGCTCTAATACCGTCAATGAGTATTTTCTCGTATCAAAAAGTACATGGCACTTACAAAAAGCATGCTACCGTGAGTCTTCTACTTTCTCAATCGTAAATTGTTTTGGACATTACTTACCCCGGACTAGGGAATCTGGGCTCAAACTAACCACCTTGCCAGACAGCCACTGTGGTTCTCTGTCGTCATCTCTCTATAAGCAACAGGGTGTCGCCAATTTCAAATCAGTGAATTTTTTTTAAAGTTTAATACTATTTTATTTTTCCCCAGTTAAATGTCAAGAAAATTTTTAGCATTCATTTTTACAAGATTTTTGAGTCCCAAATTTTTCTCCCTTCCTCCCTTCCTTCTCCTCCTCCTCTCCACTCTTCTGAAAATGGTAGGCAGTTTGATGTAGTTTATACATGTGCTATCATGTTAAAAAAAAGTATTTCCGTGTTAGTCACATTTGTGAAAGAAATAGATCAAAAGGGAAAAAAAACCCACGAGAAAGAATAAAGTAAGTAAAAAAAAATATGCTTTGATCTGCATTGAGTCTATCAGTTCTTTATGTGGATAATGAATAGCATTTTCCTTCCTGAGTCCTTTGTACTTGTCTGGGATCGTGTTTCTGAGAACAGCCGAGGTTGACCATCACACAATGTTGCTGATCAGCTAATCTTTTTTTTCAGCAATAACTTTCTACTAGAAAGATAAAGCATTATCTTTTGTACACTAAGTCCGAGATAATTTGAGGAAAGTCCTTTCACTTTCAAAACTGAACATCTTAAAATACTTTGACCTCACCTTGAGCCCTAAAGAAATAAAATCCCCAAATGCAAGCCAAAATTAATGTGCCGTGTTTTCAGAAGTTGAGTTCTCAGCATGAATTTTTCCTTCACCTAGGGCTTCAAGCAATTTCTTCTACATTTCAGAGGTAACACCAAATCATCACCATATAAAAAGATTAGTTGTAAAGCCTGCATCTTTAAAGTTGACATCTCTGTTTAACAAAAGTTATCTTAGGATATTGAATATGCAGGTGCCAATATTAAGATGTAAATTGGACTCAAAAAATACTTAGGATCATAGAATTGAGAACTAGAATGGGACTTGAGAGAATATTTAGTACAACCTTTTGCAGACTAGAAAACTAAGGCTTAAGACAGGTTGTAACTTGACCAAACATACTTAAGCAACAAGTAACGCCCCCCACCTTCCTCTGACTTGAAGTACAGTAGCCTTCCATTAGGCTTTACTCCCTCTCTTTTTGAATGAATGTTTTCCCACCACTCCAATGGTTCTGAGATCTTTCCGAATAAGTTTTATCTATTATAGAGAGACAGAATGGTATAGTGGAATGAGTACTGTATTTGGAGTCACAAGAACTGAGTTCAAATTTCCATGCCTGGAATGTACTCCCTCCTCCACTCATCTCCTGGCTCCCCTGGCTTCAAGTCCCAGCTAGAAATCCCATCCTGATCCCCCTCAATTCTAGTGCCTTCTCTCTGTTGGTTATTTCCAATTTAATCCTTATATTTATCCCCAGCACTTAGCATGGTGCCTGGCACAAAGTAAGTGTTTATTATTAGGGGTGTAGTGTGTGTTCAGGGAAGATTAGTGCCTCTGGTGTGAGGGATGCTGAGCCCTTTTCTGGGCTGCTTTCCACCTTTGGTGTCCACCTGATCCATTTAACTCTGACCTGTGGCTCCAAGAAGGTGTAGCATGCACAGTGGCTACACCCCAACCATTTGGGCAGATGGGCTACACCAGGTTGAGGGTAACCCAGGGGTCTCAAACCCATTAGTGAGTTAGGGAGGTATCTACCGCAAGCCGTGAAGACTTCTCCAGTAGAATGGGCGGAAGAGAACACTTTGTTCCAAGGGGGAGGCAGCTGAAGCAGGTGCTGTGGAGCACTTAGAGCTTGTTAGAGATCGAAGATGTCAAGGTCATCATCCACTGTATCTCGAGCCATCACCAGTCATCTTGACAATATCCTGCCACTGGCCTGTGATGACTGTGGAACAGAGTGAAGCTGATGACTGCCTCACTTAAATCCAATTTACACACAAATCAAAAAATATTTATTGACTAAACTGCCTATATTACCTGTATGAACTGGGGCAAATCAGTTTAACCTTCTCTGGCATTCAGTTTTCTGATCTGTAAAATTAGGGAGTTGGGCTAGATAATTTGTGAGGTTGTTTCTGGCTCTAGCTCTATGACTTCCACTAGTCAGTCGATGATGCTTTAGGGGTAGTTAGGTGGCTCAGTAGATTGAACAGGGAGCCTGGAGTCAGGAAGACCTGAGTTCAACTGCAGCCTCAGACACTTATTAGCCATGTGACCTTGGGCAAGTCATTTAACCTGTTTGCTTCTGTTTCCCCAACTGTAAAATGGGGAGAATAATAGCACCTACCTCCAGGATTGTTTTGGCAATCAAATGAGATAATAATTGTGAAGAGCTTGGCACATAATGAGCCCAATTAGGAGGCTTCTGCAATAATCCAGGTGAGAGGTTACTTGAGGTTGAATATATAGATGAAGAAATTTGCAGCTTTCTAAGAGCACAGTGCCCTACACAAAGGCTTGATTAATGCTAGTTGAATAAATAACACCTTTATGGATTTATCATATACTACTTTATATTACTGTATTATATTCATTTGTGTATTTGACATCTCATCTACTAGACTCTTCAGGGTCAGGGTTCATTTATTCATTTTTGTTTCCAGATAATACCTTGTAATAAGATATAGCTTTAGAGGTGGTAGTTAGACACCTCAGAAACCATCTAATCTAATGGCTTCATTGTGTGGAAAAAAGAAACAGTGACCAAAGTCATAAAGATGTTAAGTAGAAATGTTAGGATCTGAAACTAGGTGTTTATATTCCAAGCATCTAGTATAGTTCCTGGGGCATAGTAAGTGCTAAATAAAAGCTTGTTGAGTGATAGGATTGAACCAGCAGTCCATTTTCCCTTCTTGTTCACCAGAGGCGTCAACTATGCACCATGGGTCCCACAACATTACCTAGAACTTCCCCAACCAGATTAAAATGTAACTGGGAAATATTTAACAAAATAAATAAAAAATACAATGAAGTGTTAATAATGTGGTTTTTTTTTAAAATCAATATGCAGGTTCCTCATATGACTTAGTGGGCCTCTTTTATATTAGAATTTCACACCAAAGCCCTTTACCATAATGTTCAGAGCTCAGAATTGAGTCTCCTGGTTTGACTCTCTGTCTCCATCTTACTTTTGCATCCCATTTTGGGAAGTTCTGTGACTTGCATGCTAACTGGAAGGTGCATTTTTTACCTGAAATGAGGAAGAAACAAATGACTTTTGTTTGGTTTTTTCACAGATGTTCCTGCGGCTCTGAGCCTTCCACTTGTGATGGTAGGTAAATTACTTCACTTACGTAACCTTCACTTTCTTCATCTGAAAATCAAGGTATTAAATCTGATGACCTTTAGAGCCCATTCCAAATTTAATAGCATGTGAGAGCCAATAAGGCTTAGTGGAAAGATCACTAGCTTTTCAATAATTAGGTCATAGGCTCAGAGATTTTAGAGCTGGAAGGGACCTCAAAAATCATCTAGTTGGGGGTGAGTGGTTCTTAACCTCAGTGTCATGGACCCCTTGGGCAGTCTGGTGAAGATTATGTTCTCCTTCTCAGAATAATTTTTTAATGCATAAAATAAAATACAAAAGATTATAAAGGAAACCAATTTTATTGAAATACAATAATTAAGAAAAAATAAGTCCACAGACTCCAGATTAAGAACCCCTGCTCTAATCTAACTCCTTAATTTAATAGAAAAGGCAAAGAGGACTTTCTTCCTCTTGTCAACTTGAATTCTGGTTCTGCTACTTACCACCTGTTCAATCTCAAGCAAGTCACTCAATTTCTCTGAGATTCAGTTTCCTTAACTGTAAAAGAAAAAATTAGACTAAATAATTGCTAACATTTCTTATATCTCTTAAATTCAATGACCCTAAATGAAGAGGTTCCACTACTAAGTGATCTCAAAGGATCCTTCCAGCTCTTAAATCCTATAACTGCAAATGTTTATGGAAGTTACAGTCATAAGTCTGCATATTCTCTTTTGTACCACTAGGTGTCCCTCTTGATGATTAATAGCTTAAGCTTTTTTAAACAAATATACTGAATAACAACCTTTATGCAGTGTTTTGGTAATGCAAGTATTACTCATACCCATATTTACTTAACCAGAGCAGCCCTATCCAATAACTTAACTAAGAAATAATTTTATGAGGACTTCTTAAAATATAGAAAATTTATACTGAAAGCATAATTTTATAAAATCATAAATCTATTTGCATTGAACAACTTGTTTATTCTTCCTGTGGCTCTTATTTCTCTTATTATATAATCTATAAACAACAAGTAAATACGCGGCTAAGTTACATTCCTCTTTGAATTTGCACTGGATTTTCTATATGCCCAGGAACAAAACCTCAGTTCCCTGTGATTTCACCTCCTCTCTCACCTTCCATATCCTGACCTATGTCATATCTCTTAAGCCTGTCTCTCCTCTCCGCTCCCAGCTACCACCCTTCATCACTTGTTGCCTAGACTATTTTAATAGCCTTCTAATGTTTCCTTCACTCCAGTCTCTACTCTTCCTCCTTCACATAGCCACTGCCAGGATTTTCCTCTTAAGGCACAGGTTGGTAACATGTTACTTCCCAAATATCCATTGCTTAGAGTATAAAATGAAAAACCTCATATTCTCCATACTCATTTGCTAACCTTTCTAACCAATCTTTCTGTCTCTGCCTCTCAGTCTTTCTCTCTCTCTCTCTCTCTCTCTCTCTCTCTCTCTCTCTCTCTCTCTCTCTCTGTCTCTCAGCTTCGTGGGAACAGGGACTATTTTTTTTGTCTTATATGTCCTTGGAAGAGCAGGTGTTCCTGAGGGTAAAAATCAACTCTGATTGGTTAACAAGTAATGAGATAATGAATATTATAATGAGAGGTGGGCTTATTCTAATGAGGTTCTTTGGGAATGTGACTGATCTTGGAGAAGGAGACTTATTTATAACCATCTCATCCCATCTAGGATAATCTAGACAAAAGGGGAATCCACTTCTACCTACACCTGTCTGACTAAAACCCAATGGGCTAGAATCTGCCAATTCACCTAAAACAGAATTTCTTTACCTTTTCATCAGATCTGAATTTTTCCAGTGGGGTACATCTCCCCAAGATTTCATCTAATCATCAGCCTGGCCCTTCAAAGGCTTTCTGGATAACCTACAGGGGCTGATTTCTGAATGAGGAAATAGGAAGAAAAAAAACTTTAGTCCTAATTCAATAATTGGCTATTAATATGAGAGAAATAATCATTTCTCTCATGTGTACATCTAGAGGGCAGAATGCCATAAATCAGTTTACATTTCTTTCTATATTAATGATACCATTTTTCTATTTTTTCTTTTCATAGAATTAGAATTAGAAGAGATCCAGAGGCCATCTGATCCAACCTGTGTATAGACAGGAGTACCTTGTACAACCACCCCAGCAAGTAGTCATTATTCAACATCACCTGAAGATATTTCCCCCCTCCCCTGCCATGACGGAGAACCTAGCAAATCAATACATTCTATTATTAGAAAGCTTTAATTATTAGGACATCCTTAAGTCAAGTCTAAATCTGTCTTTCCACAATTTCTACTCATTGGAAAGCCCTGAAGTTGGAATTTTTTTCACTCTGCAAATATCTTCTACTCTGTACTTAAATTTACTATAGAAATTTGTCCACAAGGTATTTGATAAATGTGATGTGAGAACAGTTAAGGTCCCCTCTTTTTAAGAAAGAATAGATCATCAGACATGAGGGTGTAATTATTATGAATAATTCTTTCTTAGTTATTTTAAGCATAACGCTTATCCACCATACATTATTATGTACTTCCTAAAGCTAAAACATGTTTCAAAATTCTTGTGTATTCTTGTCATATTTTGCCACTCCTCCCCTACACACATACACCCATTTTCAGTTCAGTAATAGAAAAACTTACTGAAAGTTCCTTGCAGTTAGTTTGTTTCTCCTCCAAAACAAAAATAAACTCTTTGGAGTTTTTTGTTCACATCAATTAAGAGGTGGTAATTAAGGTGTTCCCATATAAAGAAAATTTATTGTTGACAAAAAAATTTTTTCATGTATCTAACTTTATTCTTTTTTTTAATATATCTAGTTATAAGATACTACTGAGTATGTGACTTTGAATAAATCATTTCTGAGCTTAAGTTTGTTCAACTGTAACATGAGGAGCTTGGATTGGATTCAGACAGCTCTGAAATTCTACAGGTCTGTTATGGTCAGTCACAGCATAATGATATTATACTCAGTTCTAGTTGCCTTATTTTAGGAAGAACACTGACAGCTGAAGAATGCCCAGAAAAGGCCACCAGAACAGTGAGAGATCCCAGGCTTATACCTCGTGAGGATCAGTTGAAGACGATGTTGTTTAGCTTTCAAAAGGAAAGACATAAGGAGGGACATAGAATCTGAAGAACTTTCTGGTGTAAGAGGGATTAAACTTCCATCTTGCCCCAAAGGGCCTAATTAGGAAGAATGATGCAAATTGCAGGGAAGGAAATTTATGCTTGATGCAAAAAACAAACAAACAAACAAACAAACAAATAAATAAATGAAGCTTCCTAACAATTAGAGCAGGCCAAAAGTGAAATGGGCTGCCATAAAAGGGAGAGAGTTTCCCCATTTTTTCAAGTTAGTAAGAATTTATTCAGGTGCTGTGCTCAGCACTGGGGATATGAAAATGACTCTGTCCTACAAGATATATACAGGGTAAATGGAAGATAAGCTGGGGTGGGAGGAAAGGGGAGGGTAGCAGGAAGAAAGGACAAGGCCTCCTGTATAAAGTGAGAATTAAGCTGAGTCTTGAAAGAAGCCAGGGAAGCTAGGAGGTAGAGAGGAGAGAGAAAACATTCCAGGCATGGGGAACAGCTGGTTAAAAGAAAAAGAATTAGGATAGGGAATTGAAAAATAGCAAGTGGGCCAGTGGAGCATAGAGCCACAGAGTACGTGGAGAGTTAGGTGTAAGAAGATGGGAAAGGTAGGAAGGAGAGAGGTAATAAAGGACTTTGAACACTAAACAAAGGATTTTATATGTGCTCTTGGAGGTGAATTTTTTTTTTACAAGGGGTTGGAGTAGAGGTCACGTAAATAGGCTTGTGCCTTAGGAAGATTGGTTTGACAGCAGAGTGCAGACTGAACTGGAGTGGGGACAGATTTGAGGCAAGGAGTACAACCAGGCTATTGCAATAGTCCAGGTAGGAAGAAGGGAAAAATGTCTACACAAAGGTGGTAACAGTGTCAGGGGAGAGAAGGTGGTATATGTGAGATGTAACAAAGGTGGAATTTACAGGACTTTGGCAATAGATTGGATATGGGTGAGAGAGAGAGAGAGGGAGAGAGAGAGAAGAGAAGAGAGAGAGAGAGAGAGAGAGAGAGAGAGAGAGAGAGAGAGAGAGAGAGAGAGAGAGAGAAAGAGAGAGAGAGAGAAGTCAGGGATGGGTAGTATAATGGGAAAATTACAAAAAAGAAAGGATTTGAGGTGGGAGGGAATGAGTTCAGTTTTGACATGTTGAACTTACTATGTCTATAAGATATCCGGTTTGAGATGTCCAATAGGCCTTTAGAGACTTGAGGTCAGCAAAGAGGTTAGGGCTAGATAAGTAGAGTCAGTAATCATTAGCACAGAGATGATAACTGAATCCATGGGAGTTAATGAGATCACCATATGAAATAGTATATAGAGAGAAGAGGGCTCAGGACAGAGCTTTGGGGGATATTCATTTAGTGGGCATAACCAGGACAAAGATCTAGCAAAGAAGCCTGAGACACAGGAAAACCAGGAGACAGTAGTGTCATGAAAACCTAGAGAGAAGAGAATATCAAGAAGAAATAGATCATCAACAGTGTCAGAGCTTCAGAGAGATCAAGATGAATGAAGATTGAGAAAAGTTCATGGAATTTGGCAGTTAAGAGATCACTGGCAACTCTGGTGACTTTGCTGTATCAAATAGCCATATCTGGCTATTTGAATTCCCCAAGGTCAGAGTTGACCAGTAACAACACTAAAATCATTTAAGTAGTAGGAAGTCCTATAGAAGACCTTAAGGACCTTGCCCTAGGCAAGTTAGCCTACTTTTCCCTTAAAAATGTATTAAAACATGCCAGCTATTGGGGCTAGAACTCACTATCTGACAAAACTACTGGGAAAACTGAAAAGTAGTCTAACACAAATTGAGCATAGACCAACATCTCATGCCATATATCAAGATAAACTTAAAATGGGTACCTGGTTTAGACATAAAGGATGATATCATAAGCAAATTAGTGGAGCATAAAAGAAATTGCCTGTCAGATCTATAGATAAGGGAACAGTTCACAACCAAACAAGAGATAAAAAGGTTCACAGGAGGCAGAATGGAAATTTTTTATTACATAAATTTTAAAAGTTTTACCCAAATAAAACCAATGCAGCTAAAATTAGAAGAAAAGCAAGAAAATGGGGAGGGGAGGAATCTTTGCAGCAAGTTTCTCTAATGAAGATCTCATTTGTAAAATATATAGGATATTGAGCCAAAATTTGTAAGAAAAATAGCTGTTCCCCAATTGATAAATGGTCTAGGGGTATGAAAAGACAATTTTCAGAGAAAAAAATCAAAGCTATCAATAGCCATATTAAAAAGTTCTAAATCATTAATTATTAGAGAAATGCAAATTAAAATAACACTGAGATGCCACCTCACACTCATGAGATTGGCCAAGATGACAGAAAATGGAAATGATGACTACTGGAGAGGTTATGGCAAAGTAGGTACATTAATGCACTGTTGTGGAGCTTTGAAGTAGTTCAACCATTGTGGAAAGAAGTTTGGAATTATGTCCAAAAGCTATTAAAATGTGCATATTCTTTGGCCCAACAAGTTGCTTTTAACAAGAAACTCTTACCCCACTTCAGTGTCAATAACAGAAGGATGTGTCAATAACAGAAGTGTGATAAAGTTCACTGGAGAATCCCCAGATCATCAAGACCCCACTAATATCTATACTTGTATGCAGGTACAGGGATCACATTTGGAGGGGTACATTTGGAAGGAGAGATAGCATTAACTTGACAGGAACCCATGTGGAAAGGCAATTGGGCCCAGAATCCTGTTACTGAGCTGCCATTGAAAAAAGCCAAATCAGAATAGTCTGACTCCATGCGACATGTGCTAGAACACAGAGAAGGATATCATTAGATACAGATATGCAGGAAACAAGCTTTCTTGTAATCATTGGTGTCCTCTGAGGGCATCATTATCATTTCCTGACAAGCCCCTGTCACATAAGAACTATAGGAAGAAGAGAAGTGGATGGGATAGCCTCATGGAGGGAGCTGTAGCATTGTAGCTAGGGTAGTCAGGAGGTGGGTACAGGGCATTTCTAGCAAGGGGAGCAAAGACACAGGAATAAATATGTGTTGTCTGAGGGCCAATCTACCATGAGTTTGGTTTGAGTGGAAGGTTTTTGTGGTAAAGTTAGACAGGTAGGCAGGTAGGGTGTGGAAAGGATCTTTTTGAGTGGGAGAGTGATGATCATGCTGCTTTAGTCAATTTAATCTGGAAGGAATGTATAATATTGATGGTAGCAGAGTAAGACCAAATGATTCATGTACGAAGTGGTGAAGGCCTCAATTAAGGTAGTGACAGTGGAAATGGAAAGGAATGAACAGCTGGGAGAGATGTTATAAAACAAAAATCAATAGGATTTGTTGATTGTTTAAAATGACTACCTATTACATTGGCTAACAGAACAGAAAAGGAAAATGACAAATGGAGGGGATGTGGGAAAAATGGGGTAATAATGCACTGTTGGTGGAGCTGTGAAATGATTCAATCATTCTGTAGCACAATTTGGAACTATGCCCAAAGGGCTATAAAACCATGCATGCTCTTTGACCTAGAAATGCCACTATTAGGTCTATATCCCAAAAGAGGAAAAAAAAGAAAAGAAACAAAAAGGACTTATAGGTACAAAAATATTAATAGCAGCTCTTTTCTTGTGGCAAAGGATTGGAAATTGAGGGGATGCCCATTAATTGGGGAATGGCTGAACAAATTGTGGTATGTGATTTTGATGGTCATGCTGTGGGAAATGATGAGAGGGATACTCTCAGAAAAGCTTGGAGAGATTTGCATGAGCTGATGCAAAGTGAAATATGTGTGTACAAAGTAGCAGCACTATTGTAAGATGATCAGCTATAAATGACTTAGCTATTCTTGGCAATACAATGATCCAAGACAACTCTGAAGGACTTGAGATGAAAAGTGCTATCCACCCCAGAGAAAGAACTAATAGTGTCTGAATACAGATTGAAGCATACTTTTTTTACTTTCTTTTTCTTACGGGTTTTTTTTTTTTGGTTCATGTTTTCTTTCACAACATAAGTATTATGGAAACGTTTTGCATGACTACACATGTATAACCTATATGGAACTGCTTGCCTTCTCAAGGGGGAGAGATGGGGAGGGAGGAAGGGGGAGAAGTTGGAACTCAAAGTTTTAAAAACAAATGTTAAAAATTGTTTTTACATGTAACTGGGGGTGGGAACAAAATACTAAATTGAAAATTTGGAGGAAAAAAAAAGGAAATAGGGAAGTAGGTAGAGACAGGAGCCAAAGGTAGGTCTCAGAACCATATTGTCATTGACACTAGGAAAAAGGAAGTCCAAAGTGAAAGCAGCTTTCTGGTGAAAGAATGAATTTGGTTTTGGAAAGGTTGTGTTGAAGGCAGAGACTATTTTTATATTTTTGCATTTCTTTATAATATCTCAGTACGTAGCACAAAGTTTGGCACATAGTAATTAATAAATACTTGTTGTTAGATGAATTTGAGACATATTAGAGTATGTATCCAAATGAAAATGCTCATCAGGTAATTAGAGATATAATACTGGAACTCAGAAAAGAATTCAGGGCTGGTGTAATTGATTTGTGACTCATACATACATACAGAGGAAATGGTTGAAAAGTGTGAGTGAAGGAAGCCTTTGTAGGAAAGAATATAATATTTCTTTATAAAGAGTATTTAATAGCTAAGGAGTAAGCCTTCAGTGGGAGGA